CTCCTTTGCTTGGCGACACATCATGTTCGCTTGCGTGAAAGCCCCCATTGGTGGGAGTCGAATGCGATGCAAGCCACACTAGCTTGAATCGCAATCAGATATCGGTCCGTTCCTGCTAATCCTCAGCGCGATGTCAGGTTGCGATTCGCTCCTGTAGCCTTGTCAGCTTCCCGTAGCTAGCATGTCCCTGTCCAATTCTATTTTCCTTGAAAGACCCCTTGGCTTTACGATCAAGCATCGTATGATGACCTGGACCGTATTATCTGTGAGATATTGCCATGGGTATTACAACGGCCAGCAGCCGATGAACCTCTGACCCCTTCACATCTCGCGTTCGGGTACTATACGTGAGGCCTGGATGATCTCGGTACCATCGTCGGTGTCTCTTGTTGTCCATGCACGGTCGATGGAAGGTTCTCCGGATCGACCAAAAAGGAAACACAGGGCTAGAAGCTTCATGCGCTTCTTCGACCCCTACTAACGGACGATACCAATACTTGGTTCCCGGTGTCATATAGAAAGCGCGTCGGTTTGATACCTCCTGCTTGGACCTCTTCGCTTGCAGCGTACGTGATTTAGAGTTTGAAGTACCTGCAGTATGGGGGAAGTGCGGTTCAGAGCTTCTAGTTTCTGTGACCATGTGCCAAGCAGACGGCGTGCTGTTCAGTCGCTGAGCCACGCGGCACGAACAAAATGCGGTCTTTGCATCATTTGATCAGTGAAAGATCTGCGCACTTGGAAATCGTGTGAATTGTATTCCAGCAGCGTTGCATCATGAGACCCAACTGGCTCAGGTGCCCAAGAGGAGGCAGTGCTGTATCGCTTCATGTTTTGTCTGGTGTCGAAGTGGCGTTTAGCAATGCCGGAGGCTACCTTTCCCTGGGGTCCGGGGTTGCGCCGACTGAAAGTGGCGGCCCTTTTCTCGGGGCTCGTGGGCTTAGCTTCCCCTTATGTTAGGCCTGAAGGTCACGTGCGGGCTCGTGAACCTGCGCATTGGACTCCAACACCCGAGGGCCAATAGATAATTAGTGGATGTTTAGTGAACGCCACCATGCAACAGCGGCCTGCAGGCGAACTCTGGCCTCGGGAAGGCGAACCTGATGAAGAATACACCGAACGCAGGTACTAGCACGTTGCATCTTTCAATCCTTTTGGGCAGCATTGTCACTTGGGCAGTATTCAATCTCTGGCATTATGCAGCTCTGGTATTTCAAATTACATTATTTGTCTATTTGTGCGGTACAACACATTATGGTATACGTTCAGTAATTTAGACAGTGACATTGACGGATTCGTCGATCACTGAATGGGTGCTCCAGAGGCGCCCAAGGTCGCGTAGAATAGCTTGGTCTGACCGGTAATGATCATCCGTCCTTCTCCCGCAAACTTGAAGTTGGCTGCTGTCGTACCCGTGTAGATCTTTCCAATGAGCTTGCCCGAAGGGTTGTAGACCCATACACCGTCTCCGGCACCAGTGTAAACACGGCCCATAGAGTCGGTGTGTACACCTGTCGTGGAACGTTAGCGATTGCATTCAAGGTTGCATGTCCACGTGCGAAACTTACCATCAGGGATACCAACGGGAAGGTAGGCGAAGGTCTTGCGGTTGCTAAAAGTACCATCCGCACAGACGTCGAACGAGTAGACCGACGCGGGGGCAGTGAAGTTGTAACCGTAGAAACCCATTGCAATACCAGTGTCGGCGACGTACGCCTTCCTGCCATCGGGCGACATGGTGATTCCGTTGGGGTGGCCGAAATCATCAGCAACAACGGTTAGCGCACCCGTGTCAAAGTTGTATCGGTACACCTGCTCCCTAATAGCGGGTACGGGACGGAAATCCTGGAGGTATCCGTAGAGTGTGTCGGTGAAGTAAAGATCGCCATTTGTTGGGTTGACGACCAAATCGTTCAGCGAGTTGAACTGACGACCGAAGTAGTTGTTCACAAGAGCTAGGATGGTTAGTGTCACTATTTGTTTCTGGGTGAGATTGGGATACTCACTGGTGGTGTTGTACGGTGGCAGAGGGTTCATCATGTACAATGCCGATGGCACGTTGTCACCTTGGCCTTCACCGGCGAAGATGATGTTGCCCTTGTAGTTGGTACCGCCGTTAGGGTTGATAACCTGGGGGTTTGCGGTGTCGACGACAGTGACAGGTGCTGCCTCTAGGGATCCATTCCTAACTTTCTCGGCATCCGAAAGACTGATCTTTTGAATGATGGAAGACTTGTTCAGTCCGGTACCCGCAGCCTTCGCACCAGCGTTCTGGACGAAGAACACCTCCTCTGTCGGAGGGTACCACGTAACAGCCTCGTGGAAGAGCGGGTCCGACTCTGAGGTTGCGATGGTGGTCAACGAAGGGTTCTCGCCGATGACGTCGTAGAATTCCTCGTCATAAATGTGGAAAGGCTTCTCCAGAAGAGAATCGGCAGTCACACTGGGCCAAACGAAGAGCTATGTCTTTGTTAGATCCTTTCGAGCTTCACGAGGATGTAAAGATGAAAAACGTACCGATGTCGCATTGGCTCCAGAAGGTGGCGGGACTGTCTCCAAGACATTGAAGCTCTTCTGGTCAACGACCTGTGCAGACTCAGGTACAGTCCGCGCGAAAGCACAGCCAACTGCTGCGCTAGCAGCCAGGAAGACGGATGTAGATGGCATCTTGAGGTGAGATTGACCAACTGTACATCTCCAAATCGCGGAGACTGCCCCATTATATGAAGCAGCTGTCCGGATAAACCCTTGACCGTTCTCGTCCCGGCAAAGAGAATATTAGATTATCTCGGCAGAACCCATAAAGCGGCATTTTCGTCATCATGCGGCTCGCTGGTAAACCATTTGCGGCATGGCATGGTGGAAGAGGGCCGATGGCGTTCAATTAGCCCAGGGTTAGAGAGGCCGGCGATGAGGCTAAGCGCAATGACCCCGTGGGGTTGGAAGGTGTCGGCATATCGCGACCCCGCCCTTGGAGTCGCGCAACGGATTTCAATTGCGTCAGAGGAAGCACGATCATGACTATTGACGAAGAACCTTTCGCTCATTGGATATTCTCCAATACCGAAAGTTTGTTGCGCGCAACTTGTAGGCTAAATTATCGTACGGTACTTCGAATGCGCTTGTCGCATGTTCCTTGCTTCCCGATGCACACCAAGCCGCTGTGCCTTCTTGGCACAACAGTTTGACCGGTCGGGGTTACTCGACCCGCTACCCGTTACCGACGTGCTTTGGACAATGCACCAGAAGCCTAGATTCACCTTTTCGTATCCAAGGCCATGGGCGGAGATACATTGCCGCATGGGGTTGCCGCAGAATTGGAGACTCCTGGTCAATATGCCCATGTCCCTACATCTCCCAAAAAGCTTAGCCTTTTCTTATCGATACATCCCAGGTAGACTAGCTACGGATGCTATGTGATCGGCCGTTCACGTGCAGATTTGACCGTAGGATTCAGCACTGTCGACATGCAAGTGCCTCCACGCCTTCTAGATCCTGAAATTCCAAGCTTCGGGCAGTCATTGTCAGCTCACAAATATTGGTCGAAGAGCTAGCTCATCGCTTTTGTTGCTTAGCCCAGGAGGTAAGCACGCTTCCCGTGTCACTTGAATCAAGAAAGCCCTTCGCGGCTTTTGCCCGTCCGAGACTACGACGCCCTACCTAGGTGATTTACCTCTGATTATAGAGAGAAGACGTAGTTCTACCTATGTGAACAAGAGGGAACAACGCAATCGAACTCCAGCGTAAATCAACTTCAGATTGACTTCCAAAGACCAAGGAGGAGAGCCGAGAAAGACCTTGAAAAGCAAGTCTATCAAGAAGGAGCTTACACCTCTCTTCCAATAGTAAGCTTATCTTCCGCGCCGGACACCAGAATATCTCGTCAAGCCAACCCAAGTGTTTCTTCCATACTAAAGTCGTAAGCATACGCGCATAGCCACGTTTGCTATGGCACGCGAGCCCTATATTACCGGCACTTCTAAGAATGCCAATAGAACTTCCTAACAAGCTATCCCTTCATACGCCATGCACAAGGCATGACATGACCGCACTTGCAGAGAGATATCAATGGCTAGTCAGTCTGTCATTTCAGTGGCCTTGTAGTCTCCGTGGAAGGAGGGATCACCCTTGTCGTACGTTCGGTATTTAGATAATTGTCTTGGTGCATACACAGCACCAATACCCAGTGTAAGCCAAGGACGGAAGCCCAGTCTTGCGAAGGGGACTAAAGCACATGGCCTCCTCTCGCACCCTCCATCTTCCTTCATGGGCTGGAATAGACGCAATGGCAGTGCAGTTTCAGCATATCAGATCACATCACAAGCCGCAAGAAAGGACCAATGATTTGGGTCATGAAATCGTGAGTGATATTGCTCTTTCAACATTACCCTTCCATGTCCGCCGTCCCCACCGCCGTAACCCAACCGACCCCAAGAGACCCAGCCTCCGCAACTCCACTCAGAACCCCCTACGTTGATACAGTAAAGCCGTACCAGTCATTCAATACGAAAAGAGAAGAAGACAAGGAAGAAGAACGCCAATCCCCATTCGCGCTATTTTCCAGCTGCGAAGGTATCCTCGTGGGGGGATGCATATGCAACGCACAAACTCCAAGATAATGGCCAAACCCAAAACCTGCCCGAAAAAAGGGACAACCTTGTTACCCCAAGATATCGTGGCCGTAACGTTCAGAAGCTCGTAATAAAAACATTGGCGAGAAAACAAAGGAAAACAAAAAACAAAAAACAGGCGACTCGTCGTAGAGTGAGTCGTGAAGCATCAGAAGTGCTTTTCCCTTTTTTCGATCTCAAAACGCCAGATCGTCAGAATAGTGTACAAGGGTGATGTTGATGATGATGATGTCGAGGTACCACAGTATCGCAGGACATTCGGAAAATGGCTGCAGATGCACGTCGTAACCAAGACAGTGTTTGTGCGGAGTAAACGGAGCGGAGTAGTAACAAGAGAACAATAGTGAATGATGAGTAGCCTCGCGCAAGCACTTAGCTCATATCCATCATATCCTCGAAGAGGCCGTCCTGGTGTTCATCGGCGTAAGTGGCAAGGACTTCATCGCTGGGTCCGAAATTGCCTTCGTAGATGGTGGCACCAGCGCGGCGTCTTGACTCAACCCATCGGCAACCGTAGCATTGAAGGACTTGCTCGGCAGTTGGTCGCATGTCGGGGTCTCGGTTCAGCATGGCGTAGACGACGTGGTCCATCGAGTTAGGGTCGTTGCGCTGCACCATGAATGAAGGTGCTCGGGCCAGCTCCTCCTCAGGGTTAGAGGCTGGCTTGACTGTAATGGACGCCATTGAGTCTTCTGCGGCGTCCGACATGAGGAAGCCATCCATAGAAGGCCTCGCTGGCTCAGAGACCGGGTCGCCATGGGAGTCCCGACTAAGTGTGCTGCTGTCGGCGCTCCAAGTCAGACTGGGAAGCACGTTCTCGAACTCGCCCGATCGTAGCTTTTGCCAGTAGTCGCCGTTCTCAGGAATAACGCAGTTGCCGGCAATTTCGGCCAGCATCATGCCAAGGGCAAAGACGTCGGCAGGCTTATCGAACCGACCAGAGAGTTGCTCGGGTGCAAGGTAGTGGCGGTCGCCTTCGCCATCAATACCAGCTGGAGCTGGCCACTGACTCGCTAGACCGAAGTCTGCAATCTTCAGTCCACCCTCAAAGTCGATGAGGATGTTAGCAGGCTTAAGGTCGAGATGGATGTAGCCAGCATCGTGAATGGATTTGAGACCCTGCAAAAGGATTAGCGGTGTTGTGAACAAAGACTAAAATTAGACATACCATCAGAAGTTCGAGCAGGATCTTCCAGATGCGGAAGTCATCGAGACGGCTATTAAAGCCAACGGTGTCGAGGTATTTCCTCAAGTTACCGCCCTCGCAATACTCGGTCTGGATGTATAGGTGTTGGTCAAATTCCCAGTGGGTCTTGATGTCCAACACGTGCTCGTCGCCCTGGAGAGCGTAGAGGATGTCGACCTCACGCATCTTCTTCTGACGGTCTCCTGCGCCAATGTAGGCCTTCTTCGACTTCTTTACAACCCATACTTGGCTGCCGGCGGGCGACCTCAGCGGCGAGACCTTGACCGGCTGACTCACACGGTACACTGTAGAGAATTCGCCCTCTCCGCCATCGAGAGGCTTGATCTCATGGAATCGTTCACTCAAGGACTCATCCACGTCGTTCTTTGTTAGACCGATGGGGATGGCTCCTTGGACACTTCCAAAGAAGCCGGAGTCACGTGGCGTTGTCGGTGTGGCGGGCGCAAAGGAGCCAAAGCTGCTGTTGAAAGGGAACGATCCCCGTCGGTTACCGGAGATCGACAGCTTGCTCGCATCAAGAGGGGCGAAAGACTCGTGCGCGGGAGTCTGTGGTGATGGTGCGCCAAAGAGGCTTCCAGCTGCTGTAGAATGTTTAGTATTGCTCTCGCTATCCGATGACTGGAGAGATGTGCGGGCAACCCCCCGCGAAAGAGACAGAGGGCGAGCCAAAGTATTGGCTTGCCGCAGCAGTCGACTCCTATTCGCGTTGAGGGCATATGCGGAGGGGGACTTATTAACCGTTGACTCAGACTCAGCGTCCTCTGACGAGCTGTCTTCATCCGGAAAAGTCACTGAATCTATACGAGATGTGTACTTACTCGTTGGCCGACCATCATTGTCGGGTACTGCAAATGTGTCTTGACCAATGGAAGGGCGCGAGCGGAACGTCTTACGTCGCAGGCTGCTCTCCTTTGAACGACGGCTGGACCCATGACTGGGCTTGGTCGGTGTGGGTGGCATGTCATCCGCGCTGGATTGACTGTCGCCCATCCGGTTCGCTGTCGGTGATTGTGTGTCCGGCTGGACATCCTCATCGTTATCTCCGTCGATACTCACAAAGCTGCCTCGGCGTTGCATGGTACCGCTCATACCACCGAAGATGCTTGGTCGACTGCCGAAAGCCTCTGTTGAAAACTTGGATACGTTTGCACTGAACGGTGTGCTAGGCGTGCCGAACTGATGTTGCGGGCGAGCTTCATTGCCAAAGAGACTGCCACTCCTCTTGACCAAGGGTGTGTCAAGGTTGACAGTGCGGTCTGCTGCGGCAGGGGGGAAAGACTGGCGCTTGGATGGCGTGTCGGGCATGACATAGATGCCTCCTGCTGCAGGCTCATCCGCATTGCGGTTCTTCTTGGACAGAAGGCCGGTCGAGAAGGCGACAGGTGCCGGTGGCGCAATCTTGAAGGGCGTGTCGAACGAGTCTTGCGTCGACTGCTCGCCATCTGGGGCATGTGGGCGCCCGATACCGATGGGAAGTGAGCGAGAGAAGTGTGGGTTGTTGGGCATCGGAGGCGGGGGGAATGCAGGGCCGCCCCATTGAACGGCTGGAGCCCGGGGAGGAGCCATTGGTGTGCCGCTCAGGCTGGATGAAGCAGAAGATGGTGTATGCGCGTGTGAGAGTGGGTGCGGCTGTGCTGCACCGGCTCCGCGGGGGAATGGCGTTGGCAATCCCATGCGCCCGGCGTCAAAGGTAGACTTGCGGAAAGGCGTCTGGACGGGCGGTGTTTGGGTGGTTGAGTTGACGGTGCTGTCGAGGGACATGCGGTTGCGCGTCTTGGAGGCAGCCGGCCCAGGCATTGCGAACTCGCCATCGTTGCTCGGCTTCCGCGGGGTGTTGGATCGCTGTGATAGGGTCGACCTGCGCAGTGACGTTGTGCGGCGGACTGGTGATGTAGCACCCGAAATAGGTGAGCTGTTGAAGGAGAAGCCGTTCGTCATGTCGTTGTACAAGCGCGAGCTCTCATCGGCAGAGATGCGCGGTGCGGGGGACGGGTCGAATATGCTCTCGAAGTCGTTTCCGAGGCTCGACACGCCGTGCAGGCTCCGGCGCTTTGCCATGGGACTGGATCCGGGCGAACCGCTGAGGTTCATCAGTCCGTCATTGCGCTTGAGCGGGCTCGACTTTGCTGGTGGCGCGGGCGACAGCTCGGGGCGGCGCGCAAACTCGAACTTGATGGGCTTGTCGTCGACTTCTAGTCGCTTGTCCATGTCCATGGTGTCCGGGGACTCTGCGCTTGGGCGTCGCGCGGGGATGTTTTCTTGACCGGGCGAGTGTCGCGTAATGAAGGGCGTCGCGTTGCCCACGTCGGAAGTCTCGGCCAAGGCGCGTCGCCGGGGACTCTTGGAGTTGCTGTTGCGCGTGCGCGGCGATGACCGGAAAGGGCCTGAGCGTCGCAAGGAGAACTTCTTCTTGGCCGGTGCAGCTTGCGCTAGTGGTGACTCAGGGAAGTTGGCGATGGGGCTGGTAACCTTGTTCGCCTTGGGAGAGAATGCGCGCGCAATGGCGAGGGGCGAGATGGGAGAGCGGGGCGTGTCGGAGTTGCGGAGCTGGAAGCGCGACTGTTTGGAGGGTGAGCGCGACAGAGAGCGGCGGAGCTCCTGGAGGTGGGAGAAGTGGGTGCTGTCGAGTCGATAGCTGTGGGGTCCGGTTGGTGAGGGAAAGTGCATGGTGCCACATTCGCGACTGGGCGAATATCCGTAATCCATGGCTCGCGTAGTGGGAGCCGTCTGGAGTGAGTCGGGATGTTTTGGGATGAGACGTGTTGACGTGATTTAGGCAGGCGCAGAGGGCATGGAGATGAGTGCAGTCTTCAGTCGATAGCGATGGCGCGGTAGTCCTGCTGGCGCGTGGTGGATGCGGACCGTGGTATGAATGCGTGGAATGTCGTCGGCAGGCGCGCGATGGCGTAGTGCTCGATGCTGGCCGGGTTCCGTGATTCCACCTTCAACAAGCAACGGCCGAAGTCCGGTGGTGCTCCATACAAGGCCTGGTGATGGAGGGTCCTGGTGGGGAAAGGATGGCTGGAGGTGGAGAGAGCGTGTTGATGTTGACGGCGTGTCGGAGGGTGATTTGCTGTGTCGTGTACTGGGGAAGCGAGGGCGCAGGCGTCGCGTGTTTACCTCCGCACGTTAGGCAAGTATAGTCGCAACACACGGCAGGCGCGTCACAACGCGATGATGCAATGGCGAGGGGAGAGTGCAAGCGATCGAGCGATGGAGAGACCCTTCTTGCGCTCGATAGCGATCGGCTGGGAATGCAGTGGTATATGAGAAGAGACGCGTTCTCTCATGTGCAGGGTGTCTTTTCGCCGGGCGTGTGGCAGGAAAGTTGGGGCGTCGGGGCCCGTGCGTCCCAACCCGCCTCTTACTTCGTGACGCCCTGCAGCGAAGCCCGTTAGCCCTGCCTGCCAATCGAATCCACGTCTGCAGCACAAAGTGAAGCAGTCATAGAGGCGACCCGAGTAGGCTCTGCAAATTTAGACACGCGAAGCTCCACCGCTGCCAGCTCGCTGCACGTCTGTTGCACTGCGAGGCGCTGCTGCGGAGCTCTTGCCACGTTCAGGTGTGCGTGTTTACATGCCGTGTTTGTTGATCAACAAGCAGAATCAAAACAACACCAAATCCTCGCCACCACCGCATCTTCCCCAACCACAGTATCGGCACCAGGGCGCTCGAACCACGCGTCGACCTATCCCCCCTTCTATGCCCAAATTAGCAAATCTTATCGTCTTCATGCCATCGGGTGGCCGAGTCGCGCGGAATAGGGGCTCCAGCTTTGCGCCCGCCTGCCACCAGTTCGGCGGCCCGCGTCACAATCTTAGCCCTCCCCATTATGATTGCCTCTGCAGCTCGCCTGCAGCCTCCCTATCGATTGCACGCATCTTCGCCTATTCAGCTATCGATAGGCTTTGCGAGTCGTGGGAAACATCTGCTTGTCCATATTGCTTTGCCTGCAGTTTCAGCTGACTGCCCGAGCAAAGTTTATGGGTGTCGTCATCAGGACCCTTCCAGCTGATTCTGAGTATTGCCCAAGACGCGTCTTCGCGTTGTTTGCGTCAACAGCGCCGTACAACCGGACTCCCCTCCCTGGCTCGACTTTGTCCGATCGCACAGCTTGCTGCGATCGAGGGTTTTGCTCATGATGTTTGGCCTGCACCTAGCCATCCGTCCATCCCCATGGCGTCGGGATCGAGGAATTTGGTTACACATGACGTAGTCTTGTGATCTCCCCCCAGCTTTCGATGTGAGAGCCATCCCGTGAACGCTGAGCGGATGAGCTATCGATATGATACGCGCTAAAACCTCACAAGGGCTGTTGGTAAGTGGTTTTAGGAGGCGGACCGTGTGCCGCTCGATAGTCTCTTCGAGGGAAGCGTGCTCACGAGGCCTTCTTCGAGGCCACGCTTCGTGATGGTTGCAACTACTTCACCACTAATCTCCGGGAAGGTGCGGTAACGGATCGTACCTACTTCATCGATCAGACGTAAAAGCACGTGGACATCGTCTGTCATGCGGCAAGATCATCGCGTCATGGTGAAAAACAACTTCCTAATACCGCGAATTCGCAAATCTGCATCAGGCGGCCGCATCTGCGACCTCATTGTTATTCCACTAGAAAGATCCCCGCTAGCCTACCGTTCAACATACAGTACTGCAGGAACGCGCTCTGGATGCCATGTTTTCCTGTTTCATCATCGCCGTACCTGCCTTAGCCTCTGGCACGCTTCCCCCTTCTGCGCTCAGATAGTCATCTACGCAGTCATCTATCATTACTACTTGCCGACCTCGGGAACATCACATGCCCTCAATCTAGTAGGAGGTTCACAGAGTGGTCTGTGGAAAGGACATGAACACGCTCGAACATGATATTTGATGCAGCCTGCAGCCTGCATCCCGACCAGTTCCGCAGGACGCGATACTGCATCGACAGAGTTTGGAGTTTGGCTCGGTAGTCAAAGGAGAAACGCGCTATGGGCATACAGCGACGTGTCTTGCAGCCAGCCTTAGCCGTACCTGCAGCGAGCATCAGCCTTATGATACCCCAAGTTTGATGTTTCAACGCGTGTTTCAGATTCGCTACTTCGTGGCTCTGATTATTGTCAAGGCCATGTGGCTTGTCGCCCTGTTCAGTCACTACGGTAACATCTGCTGGACTGTCGCCCTGTCTATGATTCCCATGGTAACTATTTCTAGTCGTCTCACTAAACTTGATGAAAGTGCGGGGAGATGAGTTGGCTTTTCAACAGGAGGTTCTCGGGGCCAGCATCACGACCGTGGATGGACGGCCACAAGGTAAGAACTTACGTCAAAATTCCAGCAATCAAGGTTCCACCCAGGAGTTTGCCTAAGAAAACTCACATTGCTTGCGCGTCAGAAAGCGGAGAAGAGAGTATCGGTCGGACTTGGCCCGGATATTAGAAGCCCAACATCGACAGCTGTCAAGAGTGGCGAACACAGGGTCCTCCCGTGGCAGCATCTTGGGATTCACAGGGTCTCGAGATGATCTGTTCCCACTGTTCATCCCGTCGCTAAGGTGACGCAAGATGTGCTGCCGTAGATGCCCAATGCTGCGCGTCTTCTTCGTATTGCGCATATTGCGGCCACTAGAAGATCCTTGGGGGCTATATTCGGGCATGGACCGTGTGAATTGTCCCCTTATCGTGGAATCTTCGGGTAGAGTCTGGATGACGACGAAGCTCTGCTCGGACATCTTCGAGTAAGTCAGATAAGAAGTACTGTGGTGTTGGTCAAGCCTGACACCGTGTGTTGTAATTTGTAACACAGTTTGACCTGAGGCTGCATTACAGATACTACCACGAACTTTGTTGAAAATCTGGAATAGTTGACAACTGCTATGGCTGTCTCGTGTTTCAGATCGAAATGACGAGAACCTGTCTAGCATTTGTCGCATGCGGGGTGAAAGGATGAATTGATACACGTGCGATGCCTGCAACGCTGTGGGCACCATGTCTACAGTAGTATGTATTTCTAACGCATTCATGACCACACAAGAGTGCAGCGGTGATGTGAGGTATGAGTCCCCATAGCCGGATGGAAAAACTTTGTTCCCGTGGGTTGCCAGTCAATGGCGGGGTGAGTCAAATCAAAAAGTTGGCGGGGCATATATCTCGTCGCGCAGCCCACACGAGCACCACCGAACATCGCAACAATGGCCGACGAACAAGCTGCACAACAGCCACCGGCTGCCGAGACCAAGGACTTGCACACCGACCCAGTCACCGGCGAGAAAATCTCCAAGAGTGAACTGAAGCGTCGCCAGAAGCAGCGCGAGAAGGACGAGAAGAAGAAGGAGAAGGAGGCGTCGCTACCTGCGCGGCCCAAGAAGGAGAAGAAGGACGATGTCGAGGAATTGAACCCAAACGTGCGCATCGAACTTGCCTCTTTCAACTGATCTGGTTACTCACCAACTGCAGCAATATTTCGAGATCCGGTCTAATAAGATCAACGCTCTCCGCGCCTCCAAGCAACCCAACCCGTACCCGCACAAGTTCCACACCAACTACAAGCTCGCCGACTATGTTCGCGACTACTCGCACCTCAAGAAGGGAGAGACTGAGCCCGACAAGGAGATTCGTATCGGTCTCCGCGTCATGACACAGCGCTCTGCCTCCAACGCGCTGCACTTCTACGTTTGTGCGTACATCGGATACAACAATACTTTCATAGCTGATAACATCCAGGCAAGGCTGAGGGTGTCAACATCCAGGTCATGTGTCAATTGCAGGAAGCCAAGGCAGACGTACCCTTCGAGAAGCAGCATGAGAACATCCAGCGAGGAGACATCATCGGCGTCATCGGATACCCAGGTCGCACCAGCCCCAAGAAGGGTGGTGAGGGTGAGCTAAGTATCTTCGCGCGCGAGGTGATCCTTCTCACACCCTGCTTGAGGATGTTGCCGACGGAGCACTTGTGAGTTCAGCTCAAAACTTTAGCGATGGTGATACTTACATAGTACAGTGGTTACAAGGACCAGGAGCAACGTCACCGTAACCGATTCCTCGATCTCATCATGAACGACTCAACACGCAACACCTTCATCACTCGGAGCAGGATTATCAAGGCTGTTCGCAAGTACCTCGACGAACGGGACTTTCTGGAAGTTCAGACGCCTATGATGAACAAGATTGCTGGTGGTGCGACTGCGCGACCATTCAAGACATACCACAACGAACTCGACATGGAGCTTTACATGCGTATCGCACCCGAGCTATACCTCAAGGAGCTTGTAGTTGGAGGTCTGGAGAGGGTATACGAGATCGGCCGTCAATTCCGTAACGAGGGTATCGATCTTACCCACAACCCCGAGTTCACCACCTGCGAATTCTACATGGCATACGCCGACTACAACGACGTCCTGAACATGACCGAGGAGCTCGTCAGCGAGCTGGTCAAGGAGGTCACAGGCGGATACGAGACCGTCTACCACACTCAGAGCGGCGAGGTCTACAACGTCAACTGGGCAAGGCCATGGAGGCGAGTCGAGATGATTCCGGCATTGGAGGAGGCTACCGGCGAGAAGTTCCCACCAGCGGATCAACTACACACTGCCGAGACCAACGAGTTCCTCAAGAATGTACTCAAGAAGGTCAAGGTCGACTGCTCAGAACCTCGCACCAACTCAAGAATGATTGACAAGTTGGTTGGTGAGTTCATCGAGGAGACTGCTATCAACCCTACATTCATTA